AGCCTTAGACACTAATCCAACAATATGTTGGTATAGGGTACTCAATGCCCGAATGTTGCTTGATTTGTGCTTTTAGGAGTCCTGGTTATTTTTAATTAACTAGTAGACGAATACGGTAAGTTACCTATTATGAGGACAAAATAATTTCAGAAGGTTAGGTCTAGCCCTATTTCGCAGCTCTTGTTTGAGTCCAACCGTTGTAGGGTAGGACCTCCCATTCGAAGAATTATCTGGTCTTAGTAGTATGTAATGGTATTCGCGAGCTAGTTAGGGAAAGATGATAGGGACTTCTTATACAGCTGATGGCGAAGAGTGGGTTGGAGAGTTACCCTAGGGTAAGCCTAGGATGAAATTTGTGTAGCAAGTAGTAATAGTAGAAGGGACTTGGCGAAGTCAAAGCAATCCTTGAGGAAAGTATGGATAGATGTGGAAGGTAGTATGTGCCCGTACTACTGAAAGCAGAGGATCCGTACTTGAGTCAAGGAGGGCTGAGATAGAACAAGGAAAGTGGTAGTACGTGAGGCTTTATGAAGTTATGTATGACCCTGACGATAATGTGTTTTGTTTAAGAATGATGATGATTACGCGTCACGAAGCATGAGGATAGGGATCAGTATCTGGTTCGGGATCAGGTTCGGGATCAGGCACCGAGCCAGTTGATGAGGGACTACATGAGTTCATTGCTTCTGAGATCATGAGAGGCGTCCTTGAGGCGACCCCAGTGATTTTCGGGTCGATCAAGGAGGGGATCATCGAGCTGATGGAAGATCGACTCAGAGCATTCAGGAGTGACATGGCATCCAGCTAGTTAGGGGGACACACATAATCCTTGAAGGACTTTAGGGGATGTGTTGCGCCAAACTTCCACGGGGTGAAAGACCCCATAGCTTCCAGGAGATGGATTGCAGACATTAAGTCTGCTCAGTTGATTAGCTCCTACCCTGAGGAGTCAAGGGTCCGATACGTTGCAGGATGTTTGAGGGACCAGGCTAGGGATTGGTGGGAGTCAGTGGGTGAGTTATTAGGAGCCTCCACCATTGAGGCAATGACCTGGTCTGACTTCATGACCAAGTTTAGGGTTGAGTTTGCGCCGGATGTGGAGCTCCAGCAGTTAGCCAGAGAGTTCTTGGGTATGAGGCAGACGACTGAGTTGGTGGCGGAAATTTCCGCCAAGTTTAGGGCTGAGTTCGCGCCGGATGTGGAGCTCCAGCAGTTGGCCAGAGAGTTCTTGGATATGAGGTAGACGACTGAGTCGGTGGCGGAAATTTCCGCCAAGTTTAGGGAGAGGGCCTTACTGGTACCTTAGTATGTGGGGGATGAGGAGATGCGAAAGACTCGCTACCATGATATGTTGAGGGCTAACATCCAAAAGCATGTCAGCTACTCGGCATGCCCAACCTTGGATGATATGATTGCAAGGGCGAGGGAAAGGGATATTGATATTGAGCACCTCTAGAGAAACAGGTGCATTTTAGGATCGACCTAGTCCCGGGTGCGACTCCGATAGCCAAGGCCCCGTATCAGTTGGCTCCTCCCGAGATGCAGGAGTTGTATATACAGTTGCAGGAGCTGTTAGACAAGGGATTCATTAGACCGAGCAGTTCACCCTGGGGAGCCCCGATCATGTTTGTGAAGAATAAGGACGGGTCACATCGGATGTGTATAGATTACCAAGAGCTGAACAAGGTAACGGTGAAGAACCGTTACCCACTCCCATGGATTGATGATCTTTTCGACCAACTTCAAGAGGCATCTTGGTTTTCCAAGATAGATTTGCAGTTAGGATACCATCAGATGAGGGTCAGAGATGAATACACAAGAAGACTGCTTTCCAGACTCGCTATGCCCACTACGAGTTCGTGGTGATGCCCTTCGGGCTCACCAATGCCCCTGCCGCGTTCATGGACCTCATGAACCATGTATGCAAACCGATGTTGGATCGGTATGTGATCGTTTTCATTAACGACATATTGGTTTACTCCAAGACGCAGGAGCAGCATGAGGAGCAGTTGCAGGAGGTGTTTGATACTCTGAGGAGGGAGAACTTGTATGACAAGTTCTCCAAGTGCGAGTTCTGGTTGCGCGAGGTGCAGTTTCTTGGGCAACTTGTCAACCATAACGAAATTTTTGTTGACCCAACCAAGGTTTCCGAAGTCTCCATCTGAGATTCGGAGTTTTCTAGGATTGGTAGGCTATTACCGGAGGTTCATCCAATTTGATAGTATATGTGGAAGCTGGCCTTAAACGGATTTAAAACACAAATAAACAAAGAATAAACTATTCGTCTTTCAAAAGCTTCAACGGTGAGTAGACATCCACGACATTTGATGAAACACTGACGTAGGCGTATTTATCAGATTCGTTAATAGGAAGAACTTGAAGAAAACTTTTTTTTTTCTAAATCTACCGTATAAGCAGTAGTGGAGTCAAAATTTTTAATATGGGGGTACAAACATTACAATGATTCAAAATTTTAAATACAAATATTATTGATATTTAAACTCATAAATCGGAATATATATATATATATATATATATATATATATATATATATATATATATATATATATATATATATATATATATATATATAATTTAAACAAAAGTTAAAATTGAATCAGCTAGGTTTCAGATCCTGAAATCGATCAATGAGACAATGATAGTATTATCAAGAACTTATACAATCGCATACTTCTAAATAAAGGTAAGTAAACAATCGTTTAAAATTTAATCATCCATACTATTACACAACTTATTTTCTCTACACTTGCTATAGGAACCGAAAAATATATATATTTTATGTAATGATCTAATCTCTTGCATTAAAAAATGGTACAATCCCTTTAGATGGGGATACAAGAATATATATATATATATATATATATATATATATATATATATATATATATATATATATATAACAATTTTTTGAAGTTCTAGCACCCTCAACGCACTATGTAGCTTCGCTACTCCCTATAAGTGATATTACATGTACACAACTAGCGTAAAACATCCATGTTTAAATACAATTTTGAATTTCTAGTTTTGATTTCTTGTTAATAGCAAGTAGATATTGATTGTTGAAGTTAACTAAAGTATGGCCTTTATGCCAAATCCCTTTAAATACAAAGGGTGTTTCAAGTTAAGAGTGTCTAATATTGATTTCGAAGAGATAGAGTACCCGAACTTAGTTAATTAAACTTTTTAGGATGACCAATTGCACGGTTAATAATCTTTTCCACTTTATTGGAAATCAACTATCGGTAATAATCTTGAAGTTATCGATGTTCTATATTGATTTGAAGCATAAAATTGGAGAGGTTGTTTAATTAGATGTTAAAATTATTAGAATGATAGTTTGACAATATTTTTAAGGGCATTTATAATGCATTTGAACTCTATAGAATTTAATGGATTGCGACATCATCTATCTACAATCCATATAACTCTATTATTTTTTTCATTATAATGCATTCAACTTTATAAATTTTAATAGAATGTTAAAAAATGTAATTTATAGTAATATTTAAGAATCAAAAACTTTTCTTTTTATCATTGAAGAGGTAAATGGTTATTGAACTTTCATTAAATGTCAATGTGACATCTCAAATAGAGTTCTATCAATTGAATAACATATAGACTTCTTACCTCATTTATTTTCTCATTGAACTTACCATTATCGATGCTCTAAGTTATAATACTACCTCCGTCTCATATTTATTTTCAACTTTTGACTTTTAAAGTTTTTATTATTTAATTTTGACTTTAAATGTTATTGTTTTTTATATATACTACTTGATACAAAATATATGAAGAGATTGTGTTTTAAATGTTTTATTTCATTGTTATAAGTTTCATCAAGTAATATAACACAAATAAAAATATTTAAGATAAATTTAAAAAATAAAAACTTTAAAAGAGATAAATGTACAATAAATATGAGATGGATGCACGTATGTTTACCATTGAAAATGTTTGTTATATAATATCATACCCATGTTATGTTAACTTATGCAAATGATTTGAAATAGATAGGCAAACAAAAGCAATTTATCTACGTCAAGACATGATAACAAATACTTATTAGACACGTATTTTTATGTTTAACTTTCTAAATATGGATAAAATGTATAAATTTGAAAGATGAATTTATAGAAATGATAAACTCTTTTACATATGCATATGATATAGATAGCCAAACAAAAGCAATTTATCTACGCCAATACACTCATGTTTTTGTTGAAGTTCAAATTAACATACATACAATTAGAAACGTCTCTTACAACATCAACAATTTATAAATTCATACATAATTTTAATTAGTTACAATGATTTTGTAAAAAACTCCGTATATAAAAAGGTAGATACCGTTTATAATCAACATAGAAGTTTATTACACACAAATATTGATATATACTTCCGTTTTGTCATTGACTTTTTACAGCCAACCAGCTAACAGTACAAACAATGTAGCCCTACTTTTGTTCTATGATGTACATGCATGTCTTTATCAATATTCATCAAAGTATATGCTTTTGTATAAATTTTCACTTAGAATATAATCAACGTCATATAAACTAATTAAATTGCTAAAGACTGAAAACATAAAAACGGTTAAGTTGTGGAGTGTGTAAAGTACAAAAATGTAGAGCATTAAAAACATGAAAAACATGAGTTCTACATATCCCCGATTATTCCCATAATACCAAAATCCAACAAGTGATTAGCTGTTGGATACCTCATAAATGCTACATTTTCAACAGAAGGTCTTATTTCATAATTCAGCCTTATCTCACATTACGTAAGAGATCTAAAAGTGAAACAAACCATGTTTTTCATCGTCAAACCGACAACGTATGTACTGTATATTTTTATGTGGATAAGTGATTGTGCTCACCGTATCTTTACACGTATATACATGCAAATGTCACCCCATTATATATGTAATTCTTAGCTGGAGGTTGCCCAATTTATGTTGTACATCGATCGGTGTCTTCATCATGAAGATATCCCAAAAGGTTGGTATTTGTTTTCTTTAATCTTATGAAAACTATATAAATCATCTTGCAAGGCATTTATATACTAGATTTAAAAATGAAACGAACTCCCACGTTACTTAAACAGTTCTGAACATACTATTTAGTAAGCATTTTTTTAATCGATTCTAATAAAACATAAAAGAAATTTATTTCATGTACCTTGGCTTTCATGTTGGATTATTTAGAATAAATATAACATTTATTTTGTCGACAAATATAATTTTGTAATTTATTTAGGTATATTTTATTTTGTTGTTGAAATTAGATATTGGCAATTGAATCAAATATCAAATATTGCATATATTCTATGGAAATCATAGCATGTGATACGAGAGAAGAAAAATAAGAAGTAATTAATTGCGTCAAAACTTATATGGGAGGAGGAGGAGATTGAGTATAGTTTACGCCAAACACACTTGTCGTCCTGTTCTTTTTTTTTTCTTCTTCTTTCTTGTTGTTAGAAATAGAAGACCCCAATTACTATAAAGTACCCTCCCTTTCTTTCTTACATAGCCACATACCCATTCCTATTTACTCCTCCTCCCTTCTTCTTATTCTTCTTCTTCTTCTTCTTGTTCGATTCTAGTCGATTTCATATGGAATTTTCAAGATGTAAATTGGGTTAACCCGGCTAAAGATCAAAGCTTGTAGTACGTGTTTTTTGATTTAATTCGTTGGTGAAATTAGTATCGAGAGATGGAGAAGCTGAATTTTGTGAAAAACGGTGTCCTGAGACTGCCACCTGGGTTCAGGTTCCACCCGACGGATGAAGAACTTGTGGTACAATACTTGAAGCGTAAGGCCCAGTCTTGCCCTTTGCCGGCATCCATCATCCCTGAGGTCGATGTGAACAAGTCTGATCCATGGGATTTACCAGGTTCATACCATATACACACACACACACACACATTTAATAGAAAAACAAAAATTGCAATGTGACTGATTCGGTGTGTGTCTGTTTAGGTGATTTGGAGCAGGAGAGGTTCTTTTTCAGCACCAGGGAAGTCAAGTACCCGAACGGAAACCGCTCCAACCGGGCAACCATATCCGGATACTGGAAAGCAACCGGATTAGATAAGCAAATTGTGACCTGTCGGACCAATCAAAATCAAGTAGTTGGCATGAAGAAAACTCTGGTTTTCTATAAAGGAAAACCCCCAACCGGGTCTCGAACCGATTGGATCATGCATGAGTACCGTCTTGCCCTTGCTACCCAAAACCCGACCACCCAGGTCACAAACTTAACCACATATCAATTGGCCTTTGTTGATTATGAGAAAAGAAATTCACAATTTTTGATGTTTGTGCAGGGTATGGAGAACTGGGTGCTGTGCAGAATTTTCTTGAAGAAACGAGGGAACGGGAACAAGAACCAGGAAGAAGAGAAAGAGACACTTGAGGTTGAGGTTGAACCCAAGTCGAACCCAGTTTTCTATGATTTCTTGGCAAAAACAAAGCCAAAAACGGCCGATTTGAATCTATTACCGGCTTCGTCATCCTCTGGTTCAAGCGGGATCACCGATGCTTCTGTTTATGCTTGCCGTGAGACGGATGAACATGAGGAGAGCAGTAGCAATTGCGATCATGTTTCAACTTTTAGAAGAAAACAGTGGCCGTGAAATCAAGAATCTTTTAATTTTCTAGTGTTTAAAAAATACTAGTTTTAGTTTTACTTTTTTTTTTTTTAAAGGTTAAATTTCCCATCACTCATCTCATCAGAGGAGCATTATAATAATCCAAACCAAATTTAGATATGTTAAAATGGTTGTCCATGGAATGGAATATGGAAGAAGAGAACTAGAAACAAGGAAGGAAGGAAGAAATAGAAACAGAAACAGAAACAGCTGTCCCTCCTATTCTTTGTAATCTCCTCTTCAAATTTCACAACTTTTTGGTGATTTATTATTAATTCTCAAATTTCTTTCCTTCTCATCTTCAACTTCAACTTGGTTGGTTTTGTTTTTACACCATCACAATCATTATTTAATCTTTTTCTCATGTCATGGGTCCCATTTTAAACTATTGCAATTTAAGGTTCAAAAGTAAAAAAGGATTATTACTTGTAAATCAAGGACCAAGCAATTAGGAAGCAGTATTGAAAAAACAGCACACAATGGTTGCAACACAAAGATTTACGAGGAGAATTAAGAATATCTGTTCGTCAATCATATTTTATTTTAAGACAAATGTTATGCAATCGACCTTAAAACGGACTAAAGACCCAACATCCTTGACTTTTAATCTCTCTCTCTCTCTCTCTCTCTATATATATATATATATATATATATATATATATATATATATATATATATATATATATATATATATATATATATATATATATATATATATATAGAGAGAGAGAGAGAGAGAGAGAGAGGCTAGAAGTGTATCATATCTTCAATGATTAATAAATTTTAGTTATCATTGTAAAACGAATGAGATGGCAAACGGACAACAAGTTACGCTGCTAAATTTTTTTGTATCGTAAATCAATTCTTTTGAAGACTACATCTATAGATATAATATTGTTATACATGATTTGTTGTATTCTATTAAGAAGCTCTACTACATCTAACGCAAAGAAACCAAACATATCAAATGCAAATGGTATAAACACGTGTTGATTTTTCATACTCATGTGTGGTGACCTTTCATGTAGCAGCTTTTAATGCAGCATGTCCCGCCGTAAAACCTCCGACCCTCAAGCCTACGAGAGGGATACCCCAATAAGGTTCACACGTGCGTGTTTCCCTCCAACCCATCCAAAAATCAAAACGTCAGTCGGTCTAGGGGTTGACATTCCTTCTGTCTGGTCAGTCAAGAAATTCACAAGAGCCTCTTTCTTGGTGGAAACCCCGGCACACTTACATATGTTGAACAAAACATCATTAACCATATCGTGCCTGTATTTGAACCCCGGGAGTCCTTTGCAATGAACTGCATGCTCTCCAAAAGTGTCCAAACATGCCTTGTAGCACCCCGGAAGCTAAGGTCAATGCCCGGAAGCTTGTTACGAAGAAAAGCTAGGACACAAATATAATCAGAATCCATACCATATATATCGCTATCCCATAAGATGTAGTTTTGCAATACCCATGATTGGGCCATTCAGGAAACAAAAGCATATAAGTTAGCCTCTACTGCCGAGTATAAACACAAACCATTAAACCTAATGGGTAGGGAAGCAATTCGCCAATGTATGTCACCAAAGAAAGGGCCACCACAAACCGCAATGTCCTAAATCACCCTGCTTAACCCACTGTCAAAGAGCAACGTTGTCTACTCCATGTGAACGGGTTGGAACGTCGTCAATCCAAATAAAAGTTTAGCAATACCCATACAAGACCGAAGTAGAAGGATCTTACTCTGCGGTTCAGACGATTGAGGAAGAAGGCACATTAAATTCACAACGTTTTCAGCTCTCTTTATGGCTAAGCTGCTAATGAAACTAACATCTCTACTGACGGCTCCCTCGAGAATCCCCCCCCCCCCCCAATGGCGGTCTCCCGATGCCAACCGGGAATATCCCCCCACGCAGCTTCCTAACATCATACGATGGCCAAAAGAGATCTATTTTCTTGATATATAACTGAAGGCCCAATTTTAGGTCAATAACATTAATGATGTCTAACGCTTTAAAAATAAATGTTTGAAAGAAGTTTTGAACTTGCAACCTCCAGAAACACCCCGAACACCTAATACAAAATGGATTAAACAAATTAGTCTAAGCACGACTAAAATTATTACTAATATCTTTAATTATGAAATACAAATATATACAGTTGCTTGCTCTTGTTTAGTTACATACCTAAAGCCCCAATTTTTTTTTAAATATTTACAACAATGACTATTAACATAAATGGATTCATAATCGAAAATGACCAATATTTTGAGGTTTAAAAAAATAAACATAGAGTACAAAACTCATTGTTCAATATTCTTTATTTTTGTGAGAGATTGTTGGAGAATAAATAATGATCTCAAACAAAATAATTTGGAAAAATAATTTATAATCAACTGTTATATATCATCTAACTTGATCAATGACCAATATAAAGGTAATCAACTGTTGATTTTCTTTTTATAATTATATATCATCTAACCTGTTGAACTTGTTTATATTTTACCATTGTGATATGCTATTATAAGTAAAATGGGTAATATGTGAACAGTTTTAACAAGTTGGATGACATATAGTATACAAAAAGAAAATGACTAAATATGAACAAAAATGAACATCCCCTTACCACCTCCAACCACCAGTTCCACCCCCACTACCACCACCACCGCCGCCACCTCCACCTCTGCCTCCAACACCACCACCTCCACCTCTAGGACCACCACCACCACCACCTCTATCACTACCACCACTTTCTCCGTCACCTACATCTCCATCACCACCATATCCACCTCCTAATCGCCACTAGCACCAACTTTAGTGACAAAGACGGAGGTAGCGGAGGTAATAATAGAGGTGGTGACGGTCGACGGAGGTGGAGGTGGTGTTAGTGGCGAACACGGAGCTGTTAGTGGAGGTGAAGAAGGTGGAGGTATAGGTAGTGGAGGTGGTAGCGGTAGATGATGAAGGAGGTAGTGGAGGTAGTGGTGGTGTGGAGGCGGTGAAGGAAATGGTGGTGGCGGCGATGGTGGTGACAGAGGTGGAGGTGTTGGTGATAGTAGAGGTGGTGGTTGTGGTGGTGGAGGAGGTGGTAGGAGATTTTTTTTTCAAATTTAGACCTTGTCTTTTTGTACATCCTATACAATCCAACTTGCTAAAACTGTTTGCATATTTCCTTTTTACCTACAGTTAGACCTGGCAATCCGTGTCTGCGTGTCATGTATTCGTATCAGACACGAATTTCCACGACACGAATTTGGTAAACACGAACACAACACGAATTATAAAACGTGTTTCGAATATCAAACACGAACACGACACATAAAAAATTCGTGTGACACATGACACGACACGAATATACACATTTTTAACCGTGTTACACGAATAAACACAAATAAACACACTTTTAATGCATTTTTTAAGCTAGGATGACAAATTGACAATAACATGCAATAATCTTAATCCAAAGTACAAAGTACAAAGTTCAAACTCAAAATTACAATCCCAAAATATTTTAAAACAAGTAAATTACTAAATTACTAACTATTAACCGTGCCAGAGGTTGAACTTTTAACCGAGTTAGGCTCCTCATTATCATCCAAACTGACAACTTCGTTCACCACATCACCAACATTATAATTAGCTTCTCCAAATAACCAATCTTTGGTACAAATAATTGCTTCCGTAACATCAGATTTGAGGGAGCTTCGATATTGATCAAGAACTTTACCTCCAACACTAAATGCAGACTCGGAAGCTACAGTGGAAACGGGAATAGTCAATATATCTCGTGCCATAGCAGTAAGATCGGGATATCAAACCTGATGTCCTTTCCAATATTCCAAAATATTTATCTCTGTTGTTCTTGGCATTCGGGGCTCCTCCAAATATAAGTCAAGTTCGGACTTTTTAGTTGAAACAACATACTCGTAATCAAACGAGTCGAACTCCTATTAGTAAAATGAGAACATTAAAAATCTTGAATAAATATGATAAAAAATAATAAAAAAAAAAGCAGTTTTCATTTTTCATAATAAAAAAAAAACATTTTTCATTTTTCATAATAAAAAATAGTTTTCATTTTTCAAAAAGAAAAAACAGTTTTTATTTTTCATAATATAAAAAACAGTTTTTATTTTTCATACAAAAAACAAAACAGTTTTCATTTTTCAGATTTCAAGTTTTCGGTTTTCATTTGACGAATAAATTATTGAATGTAAAATAAATATTAAACAAAAAGTTGTACCTTCCAAGCTTCATTGACATTTATACCGCTACCCATTTCATCCAAGCTTTCGTTAGGCTCATTTACATCATTTAAAGTTGAGCCATTATTTTTTCTCATTGCAGAATTACTACAATAAATATCAAAAAGAGACGATAAAGTATCTTTCACTTCATCAAATTGACTTGATTTCTCTCCATAAATCTTAGTGTAGCCCCATTCCACAGTTTGCAACTTGTATCGAGGATCAAAAACCACAGCTAGAGCCAAAATCAAGCTAAACTCGGACCAATATTTCTCAAACTTTGCAAACATCAAATCAGCCATTTTTATAAGTCTTGCATCATTGCTGTCCCTATGTTTCTCCAAGGTCAAACGGGCCATTAAAACAGAAGGAAAATACAACTTAGATGTAGGATATTTTGACCCAGAAAATACACAAGTAATGTCATAGAAACTACATAAAAATTTGCTAAGGACTTCAATCCTATCCCACTCGTCATTAGTTGGACAAAATCTATAATTTGAATCACTTGCTTCCAAATGAGTAAAGGCCGTACGAAAGTAAAGTGCACTTCGAAGCATGAGATATGTGGAATTCCACCTTGTTGGAACATCTTGTCTTAACCCCCGTTTTGGATCCAAACTAACTAACTTCACACAATCCACAAATTGTCGTTTGCGAGCTTGAGATGCTTTGACATACTTCACACTTTCTCTTACTTTAGAAACACAACCATCAATCTCTTTCAACCCATCTTGAACTATCAAATTTAGAATGTGAGCACAACATCTTATATGAAAAAATTGACCATCTTTAATAGGTGCTTTCCTAACATTCAATTGCAACTTCAAGATATTAACGAAAGTGTCATTCGCGGAAGCATTGTCTAATGTTATGGAAAACAACTTACCTTCTATTCCCCAATCCGCAAGCATAGAGTAAACTTTTTCACTCAATGAAATTCCATTGTGGGGAGGTGGCATATCAGAAAAATTCAACAATCTTTTCTGCAAAATCCAATTTTCATCAATGAAATGAGCTGTAAGGCTAATGTATCCATCAGTAGTAATAGAACTCCACAAATCAGAAGTTAAGCAAATACGACCCGGTGCTTCCTTTAGAAACGATTTAACTTGTTTCTTTCTTTCTTGTGCATATTCACAATATCAGATCTCACAGTGTTTCTACATATTAAATTCAAATCTTCCGACACATATTCAAACAAGTCTTTAATACCACTATAGTCCACAAATGATAATGGTAAGTTGTGCATGACAATTGCTCTTACTAACTTCTCACGAAATATATCTTTGCTGAATTTTGAGGACTTCAACATCAAAAAATCTTTATCCTTCCCCAATAACATTTGACCTACAACAAGCCTATCCGGCCTATAACATTT